TTAATCACAAATGTAATAAACCTTAACAACAAATGTAACAAACCTTAATTACAAATGTAATAAACTTTAATCACAAATGTAATAAACCTTAATCACAAATGTAATAAACCTTAACAACAAATGTAACAAACCTTAACAACAAATGTAATAAACCTTAATCACAAATGTAATAAACCTTAATCACAAATGTAATAAACCTTAATCACAATGGTAATAAACCTTAACCACAAATGTAATAAACCTTAACCACAAATGTAATAAACCTCAACCACAAATGTAATAAACTTTAACCACAAATGTAATACCCATTTACCATTTACCCATTTAGATTTCAAAGATGAGAGTACAAACAAAAATACAGGTAGAAACAAATCTCCGACCTTGCAGTTTGTGCGCCAACACGATAGTGCTGCTGTGAACAAGCAAGTGTGCTTGAGAGATGACCTTAAATTCCTTGTTAAATATTGCTGCAGAGTTCTATTTATTATACCCTTTAGCAATAATTCCAGTGCTGGGGTTTTATTTAGTTTTTGCAAAATTATAGACCCAAGCTGCCTGTAATTTAATGTTATAAAATTTAATTTCAACCACAAATGTAAAAACTGCAAGCACAAATGTAATACAATGTAATATCAACCGCAAATGTAATAACCCTTAATCACAAATGTAATAACCTCTTACCACAAATGTAATGTAATGAAATGTAATATCAACAACGCATATACTAACCCTTAACCACAAATGTAATAACCCCAACCACAAATGTAATAACCCCGAAAAACAAATGTAACAAAAGTCAATATTAATCACAAATGTAATAACCCTTAACCACAAATGTAATAACCTCTAAACATGTAATATCAACCAAAAATGTAGTAACTCTCAACCATAAATGTTATAATCTTCAACCACAAATGTAATAACCTCTAACCACAAATGTAATAAAATGTAATATCAACAACGAATGTAATAACCCTTAATCACAACTGTAATAACCTCTAACCAGAAATGTAACAACCCCCACAACAAATACAATAAAATTCAATATCAACCACAAATGTAATAACCCTCAACCACAAATGTAATAACATGTAATATCAACCAAAAATGTAATATCAACCACAAATGTAATAAAACCTAACCACAAATTATATAACCCTCAACCCACAAATGTAATATCCCTGAACACAAATATAATGACCCTCCACAGCAAATGTGAGTTAACAACCATGAATATGATAAGATAACCACAAATGTAATAAAACAAAACCACAAATGTACAAATGTTACCACAAATGTAATAACCATCAACCACAAATGTAATAACATGTAATATCAACCAAAAATGTAATACCAACCACAAATGTAGTAAAACCTAACCACAAATTGTATAACCCTCAACCCACAAATATACTAACCCTTAACACAAATATAATGACCCTCCACAGCAAATGTGATAAAAGTTAACAACCATGAATATAAGATAACCACAAATGTAATAACACAAAACCACAAATATACAAATGTTACCACAAATGTAATAACCCTCAACCACAAATGTAATAACATGTAATATCAACCAAAAATGTAATAGCAACCACAAAGGTAATAAAACCTAACCACAAATTTAATCTTGAATCAGATTGTGAAACGAATGAATGTGCATATGTATCAGATGTGTTTGTGGAATTTGAATGTGATCAGTTCTCGAATGTCCAAGATATGTTGAGGACGACGAATACCCGTAGTCAAAATTTTCCATAACAAATTGTAATTAATATTAGTTAAAATCCACTATGAGTTATGAGCGTTTTGTTTGAAGAAAAGGAATCGATGAATATAGGTATACCGACCAACCTACGCCCTTTCTATAATTGAATTTAAAATACATTAACAAACATTGAACAAACTGAAGCCAAATATATTGGCTTCATTATTTCAAATGGTGTCACTATTACAATTAAATCATATATACTGGCATAGGAGACAGCTCAAGTGACTGCGGCGAAGAAGACTGACACTGGTTTGCTGCACATGATGGAAGATTATTCAGGCTGGATGGAGCATCACAATCTGCCAGCCTCGCCGCATTTTCACACCCGCCGGAAGATGGGGTTACACGTTCTTTGGCAGCCTTTTTGTTTTCTTTTCTTCTTACCAGCACGTAAAGAACGATGTGTAAAAACAGAGCTATGACAGTTTCCCCAGCAGTGATTCCAACGAACATGTAACGAAACTTGTCACCATTGAAAGCAGTACAGACACCGTTTTTGCCACATTTAGTTTTCCAGATTGCACACGATGAATCAATTACATGCCCTGCTATAATAGAACCAGGTATATAATCTGAAATATGAACAGAACATTGAAAATAAACAAACAGTAAATTAGGGTATTCTGTATTACTCGTTTATTCAAAAGACATTGATAATTCAATAAGACAGTGTTTGTCAATATACTTACTGATTAGTCGCACACATATATAGCGCAGTCCAAGAGCAACTGACTTGTCCTCTTCAGCAACAACTCTATAATTGATTAAGCACATGTCTGTATAGTAATATTCCGCAATAAATCAGCGTAGCAACGTATTTCAAATGATGAGGATGCTCAAATGATGTAGCATGGTGATGGCAATGTGGTTCCAGAATGTATGAAACTAGTCCCTAATTCAGTCACTGGTATTTGCTACACATGTATAGTAGGTGGACATGTATTGTAGAGTGTGTATATTAAATTGTATGCAGATGTTAAAAGCGGTTAACATACTGCTTTGCATCAAACATTAAACTACTATGACTGGGATAGTTATATTGAGTCTTTAATAATTGCATATCATAGCACTATGAAGATAAATCTTTCTTTATAGCATTTGCCAGTTATGTAAAACAGAAACCCGCTGCCCAATGATAAAAAAGGAGTGCTTAGTCCTGGTTTATTAGGGACTGTGTTGATATTATCAGTACCTTTATGGCAATAAGTATTGAATTGAGAAAGTATTGAAACAGATCATACACCCCAAGTTTACCTAACTCAAGCTAATTAATGACATTTCATTACCTCGTTTCATAAACCTATAACATTGTTATAGTGATATTTAGTACATCATACCATGGTTGCCATTACAGCTATTTCATAGTAGAAGTAATATGTGGTACAACCTGGTATTGTATATATTGCACATACCTCATTGTAATATTGATGCTTGGTATTATCCCTGCGCTGTTGAATAATGCAAAAATTACCAAGACAATAATAAATGGTATGAGATTTCCTTGACACGCATCTTTGGGACAAAGGCCTTGTGATACGTAGCGTGCTTCCGTCGCAGTGTCAGTGTTCGTTGATATGCAAGTGCAGTTGGTAAATTTCTAAAAACAAATGAAAATGAAAATATATACTAGTAGTAAATATGTGCCCCCACAATAATGTTGTCAAAACGTTTTATAGTAAAATACACTAGAATATCACAAGTGGAGCAAAATTCTTTGTGGGATGTATTTTCAAGTTTCACGTTAAAGATCATCGTGTATAGTGAGCAACAACAGGCTTTACCAATAACACAAATTAATGTGAATAATTATAACTGCAAATGTACCTTGTCAGACGGAAAATCAGAACATCCAGCATAGCATGGAGAGAAATAGTTTCGGCCATCCGACCCACATACAGGCTGGTAATGCTCGGTGGAACACCCACAGTCTGAATTGCACGATGCTGATAAATGCTCGTTTCTCCTATTGGTAAAAGAAGTAGAACTAACGAAAATACTACAAAAATACCAATCCAATATTGTTAAAGATGAAGAAGCATTTCGTTTTAGATTGTATATATCTCAACAATAAAATAAAACAATTCCTTGAAGAATGTTTTATACACAACAAATTGAATAAGAAAGCAATTTTCATAAACATTAAGACAGTTTCTAAATACCTTAGAGATAAAGTTTATAGATAAGCATCAAGCCAGAGATAGGGGCGTCATTCAATTTTATTACTCACTTGCATTTTGTACCATACTGTATTCTCTATATATATATTGCGTTATAAACATTTTCCATTTATTTCGTTTATATTTGAAGCCATGCTAATAATTAAGTAGTGTATCCTATGATACAACTATGCGTTCAAATAATGGAAAAGAAATCAGTTTTAATATCGATACCAGTTCTTCGCCCAGTATAAACTGACATACAACCAAACAAAGAATGTGCTTGGTCCCATATATTTTAGTTATTTCGGTAAGTTATTTTCAACATTTAAATAAAGTTTTCTTGATAGTGAGCCATAATTTTCACAGTGAAATATATACTTAAATTAAGATAATATAGTGTGATAGATTGGGATATTTCAATACTATTCATTGAAATAAATACATTGCATTGTCACCCACATTGCTACTGTTCCATCTTCTGGATTCGTAAAATCAATTCCCTCACAGGGAAACGCAAGTAGTAACCATGAACTGATTACACTAATAACTGATAAAACTAAAACCATCTTGATAACACCAGTGAGCGTTAGGTGAAGTTTCTTTATGATATATCCTGTTGTTATAGTAGATAGTACATTAGGTAGTAGCCACGTCAAACCTATATCAAAGAAATATATGTTTACTACATTAACAATATGACTAGTATATGAAGCGATGTGGGTGCCTTAATTTGTCTTATTTTACATTAGTAGATGATATATTAGTTATTTCTTAGCAGCACTCTCACACATCTGAGCGCTAGCTATCAGTTCGGTTTTTCAGTTCGATTTGTATCCGTCCGAATTGTGCTTTAATGCACGGAGTTCCCAAATACTTTCTCTCTCATTCTGTACAATGCAGTAATTCAAAACAAGACAAACTGCTTGTGAATCCTGTGGACAGACCATCAAATAACTCACAAAATAGTTCTAATAAATTTAAGGCTTTCCATACATTTTCCCAGAGTAAAAATTCGTTTACACAACTTTTGCAATCTGACTTTTTCTTCCTTTCAAACAAATGTCAAATGATGGTTTGTATGGTTGTCACGCTTTCGAATGTCACCATAATATGGTTGGCTGCAGCTTGCATTTTTTGGGTCATTGCGAGAACAGTTCAAGTATATTTTTGTCGTCATCCTCATTTTTGAATTATGGTAAATTTATTACGAGAAACCACTCTCATAAAGCAACTTTATCAGAAGTGATTATTATTTATTGGAGTATCGTTTGATGTGTAATCACCGCTACTAATTACCATGAGGCTGGTGGTGGTGGGGCTGATAGTTGCAGTTGCGTAGACGTCACCTTGAGTCGTTGATCGCCAATGTTCATGCTTGTTTTAAGAGTTGCATGGTGGTTGCGATCGCTGGTGGTACTGGGGTGTAAGGGTATTTGCTACTCTTTAATAGTAGCGATGTCTGCATTATACTTCGTGTCTCACATGACCCTACAAATTCTATATTCTGTAACATTCAGTTTTCTTGCTAGTTGAAACCGAGTTATATAACCGAGTTGAACTCTACAAGATTACCAAGCAAAAATTGACTCCACCAAACGCCTTAGATTTCTTCAAATGCAAAAATAACAAATTGATTGCCTAAAAGTTCGATTTTGTGAATAATGTTTTCAATGGATTAAGTCACAGTCCCTCTATCCCCGGTCTGGAAACGACTAGCGTTCTTTTGTCTCGAACCGCAGCGCGGGTAAACAAACCGTTCACACGCGGGCCGAGGGAGTCAGGAAGTCAGACAGATTACAATACCTTCAAAAGTTACCGTCATGCAAAGCGATACCTCATTGTATGACTTCACTTTGACTTGAAATTCGGACAACCACAACGTAAACAAACATGTAAACAAAATTATCACTATGAAATTTGTTTTTTCTGAACCCTGATACGCATCACAACCAGCCTACCAACTCATAAACATCCAGTTCCTGCAATGCAAAGATTAATATCGGGAATTATGTTCATTTTCTCGTTTTAATAGGGGAAAAACTTCGCGTGCCAACATGCTGACATCGCTAAACAAATCTTGTCAAAATGGCGTCGTTCATGCTAACGTAGTCGA